TCCCTGCTCTGTGACCCCCAGGAAGGCTACCTCCAGATGCTGCAGGTCAGTGTGCACCCCCCCGCCTTCCCCTGCAGGTGAGTCTTACCCAAACTGTTGGCCTGCCATGGAAGACATGCTGGGCCCTCCTGTTACCTGCCAACTTTAATTACCAGAACTCTGTCACTTGCTGAAATGGAAACCGGTTGACTGGGTAGTGTCTCTAAGCAGCATTAGCAAACAGTCATGCCTGTTGTCAGTAGACGAAGCATATTAGCTCACTGAGTGCCTCTGGTATTTAAAAGTTACATGCCTGAGGGTAAAGAGATTTCTCTTAGGACTCTCTGATGGCTGCTTTGTGGGGATGGGTTTATCTGGCAGGGCTCAGAATGGAGTCCTGACTTTGGGAAGTGCTCATTTTGAACCTGTCTTAGCTCTTCCTTGAAGAAAGTCACTAATACAGACGTGGCTCTTGCAAAACAACTCAGTACTGCCCCAGCACATCTGATGTGTGCTAAGGCTGAAGTCATGCTGGATTCTTCGAGGAATTCAGAGCAGGGAGGGGCATGGGAGCAGGACCAGGACATGCTCACCTGTTCCATTCCTCCCAAGGTGAGCAGTACCAGCTGTTCATGGCCAGTTCTGTGAGCACTCGCCCGGCCTATGTGCACTCTGCATTAGCTAGTCTTGGGGCCTTGGGATAGGATGGCGAGCTATGTGCCTGTTGTGAGAGGTGGTTTTCTCTCTGGATGTTTGGGAGCAACAAGGAAACTGTGGAGTGTGCCCACTGGAAGCCCCGAAAGTTTGTACATGGGATATACTTGCCATCCAGCATTTGAAATAGTTTCATCTTCTCTACCCAGCCAGGCATGAGGAGTGTAAGTCAGGGTTTCAGGACAGAGATGGCTGCATCTCCAACCTGACTATCAGCCCTACCCGAGGACATTTTGGTACCAGCATGTCAGGGGCCACACATTTTGGTGAGAGGATTATTGGAATAGCAGATGGGTTGTGGATATGTGTAATTTGCCAAAGCACATTGTATCTATTCTATAATCTTATATTTGGGGAAAAAAGGAAACATACCTCAAGAGGTGTTAAACATGAGTTGTATATTCCAGGTTGATGGGGAACACAGCGGATGTTGATTTTAGCTGCCTTAACCCCCACTTGTGCTCCAGGGAACCCGTCACAATGTCTGGGGTCTTTCTAAGATGTTGCAGGGTTGGCTGAGAGAGTGGACCAAAGACCTCTGCAGGACCGAAGGATGAGAGCCCCGGGCCCATGGGTCAGAGTGAAAGGCCTTTGATGAAAGATTTTATATTTTTGGATGCTACTGGCCTGTTCTGCTTTCCTTCTTTCTGAAGTTTGGAAGAAATAACGAGGACCAAGTAGGTCTCTCTCACAGGGTCACTGTATGTATCACCCCCACTCTCCACATGCATGGAAGTGGAGTTAGACAGCAGGGCTCAGCCAGAATGTGCCCATCTCCAGGAGGTGCAGGGAGAGAGGGGAATCCCTCACTCTGTGGAATCAGTGCCCGTGAGTGTCCGTCTTAGCCCGTTTTGTGCTGTTATGACAGAATGCCTGAGACTCATAATTTATAAAAACCAGAAATGTATTGGCTTGCAGTTCTGGAGGCCACCTCTGTGTCAGGCCTCCCTGAGCCAGAGGCCGACAAAACCGAGTGGGAAGAGACCCCGGTCCAGCCGGGGGTCCCTTGTGGGGCTGAGCGGGATGATGAGTGTCGCTGGCACGGCCCTTCCCCCCCAGGACCTTCCTCCCCGGGGGCCGAGAAAGAACACCACCGAGCCAGGAGAGTGGTCAAAGCCGGAACTCCGTTTATTTGCAGGGCGGCACAGCTTATATAGGGAAAAAGGGCAGGGCGGGTTTTGATATGAGAGATCAAGCAAAGAGCCAATAAGAAGGGCTTAAAAGGATAGGGTGAGGTGGTGGGGAGGCTCTACGCGAATACGGAACTAAAGTTGCTGAATCACTGGGACCCGGAAGGGCGAGGCAGGCAGCTACGTGCCGTTGAGCACTAGTGAAATGGTGGCCGCGGAGCGCATGAAATGGCGCCCGTGCGCATCAGGGCGCATGCGCGCAAAGTTATGCCCAACACTGACACATGTTTTATTTTCACTTTCCTGGGATGCATATTCCAGATAGTGGTTG